AACTCTAGTAGTAAACATTGATTAGCATTATTTAGAAGTTAAACTCTAGTAGCTCGTGTAGAGATACTGATCTCCCATCGGGCGCCTCCCCAGGTTGCGGATAGGGGAAAGCCCACCAGATATTGAGGGTACCAGGAAAATAAAATACCTGGGGCGGACCAAAATCAGAACCTACTGCCATGTAGGAAATGGAGGGATCCACTAAGGCTAGGGAACCTTACCCAAAAACTAAGGCAGCTATCCAGAGAGCTGTAAGGGGCAACTCCCCCCCCCCCGACGGTTGTGCACAGGGTTAACAACTTGACCATGTAAAAAAACCAACGTTACGAAAGCCAAACAACAGAATAAAACCCGGACTGATACCAATGGAAATTGGTTTTTGGATTGCGACTTGGAATGTACTAAGCCTGTTTAGAGCAGGAGCCTTAGCCAACCTTGTAAATCAGCTGGTCAAATATAAAATATCTATAGCTGCATTGCAAGAAATACGATGGAAAAATTCATGCGTCCTCAAAACAAAAGAATTCACCATATTTTATAGTGGTAGCAACACCAACACACTAGGAACAGGTTTTGTCGTGAAAAAAGAAGCGGTCAGTGCAGTCATAGGCTTCAAACCAGAAAACGAAAGAGTGTGTTCTTTGCGTGTGCGAAGAAAAATGTTCAATATAACATTCATAAATGTACATGCTCCCACGGAAGACGCGGAAGATCAGGATAAAGAATCCTTCTATGAAACACTGGAAAAGATCTACTAAGAGGCACCACGACATGATATTAAAATAGTGATTGGAGACTTCAATGCCAAAATAGGAAAAGAAAAGGTGATCATGCCAACTATTGGCAAGAAAAGTCTGCATGAAGAATCCAATGACAATGGGATCCGACTCATAGACTTTGCAGTAGGAAAAGGGATGTCAGATAGCAGCACCAAGTTTCCACACAAAAATATATATAAAGCTACGTGGAACTCACCAGATGGAATCTCCCGCAATCAAATTGATCATGTTTTAATAGATCAGAGACATGGATCAGATATATTAGATGTGAGAAGCCTTAGAGGAGCAGATGCGGACTCGGACCATCTACTTGTAAGGGTGAAAAATAGCCAGAGTTCAGCCAGAGAATAAGCTTAATCCAAAATAGTCGTAATCAAAGAGAGAAACGATACGATTGCCAAAAGCTGCCCAAAGCTGCAAAAGCTTACCAGAATGAATTAGAAGCACAATTAGAAGCATCGCAGAAGGAAGTTAATTGGGAAAACAACATAAATTAACAGTGGGATAGGATAAAAATTCCCTTAAAAGATCAGCAGAAAAAGTAGTGGGATTTCAGCAAGCAAACAATAGAGTAGGCTGGTTCGACAATGAATGCAGAGAGACTGTGGAAGAGAGAAACAAAGCACGAATGATCATGCTACAGAGGGAATCCAGAAAGAAAACACAAACATACAAGGAAGCCAGAAGGAAAGCAAAAAAAAATGTTTAGGAAGAAAAAGATGGAATATGAAAAAGCTAAACTAAAGGAAATCGAAGATTTATCAAGAGATGGAAATATAAGAGGAATGTATATGAAGATAAAAGATGAAAAGAATGGATACCAAGCCAGACAGCAAATGTGTGAGAGCCACAATGGAGACTTAATCACGGAAAATAGTAAAGTACCAGTACTGTAGAGGTGGACTGAATATTTTGAGGACATACTGAATGCAGGCAATAGACAAGAAGAAGATTATCAACCCCCACAGGGAGGACCAGACCCTTTTATGCAATGTCCAACCCTAGAAGAAACCAAAGAGGTAATTAATTACATGAAGAATCAAAAAGCCCCCGGACAAGACCTCATCACAGCAGAACTGATGAATTATGGAGGAAAAGAACTACACAATCAGATACATAAACTTATGACTAAAATTTGGCAAGAAGAGAAAATTCCGACAGAATGGGAAACAGCATTAATAACCCCAAAAATATTTAAAAATAAATAAAAATGAACATTTGTTTTTATATTATATTTCAAGTTTATTGTCCCGACCAGGCTTGTTTTGGACTGCTTTCTGTACTGGTCAACATCGTGCATATTAGCCTTCAGTCTGCTACAGTCCCCCGTCTCTTCAAGACAGTGGTTGTTAAGCCTTCAGTCTGCTACAGTCCCACGTCTCTTCAAGCCAGCGGTCATAAGCCTCTGATTTAAAAAAGTGGTCTGTACCCAAATGACTGCAAGAAGTTTCGCCCGGTCTCCAACCTGTCCATTGTATCTGAGATTCTTGAGAGAGTTGAGTCACAGCAGCTTGTGCAGCATCTTAACACTTATAAATTACTTGATAAGTTTTAATCTGCATATCGACCTCCTGGGCACAGCTGTGAGACAGCACTACTCCGTGTTATGAATGATGTTCTTTGTAGTGCTAACCGTGGTGATCTGACAATATTGGTTCTGTTGGATCTCAGTGCTGCCTTTGATGTGATCGACCATGACCTTCTTCTGTCAAGACTTCTGAATGTGGAAGCCATTACGGAAACTGCACTTCGCTGGTTTTCTTCTTATCTGACTGACAGGACTCAGCCCATTGTAGTGCGCTGGCATCTTCCATGGAAACTTCCGTTACCTGTGGTGAGCCACAGGGCTCAGTTTTAGGACCTATTCTGTTCTCCGTGTATACTAGCCTTCTCGGCAAAAATATTGTCATGATATTTGCCGCAAAATATTTGCGGATGACACAGAACTATACAAGTGTTTCCGGCCTGATCCCTTGGAGTGTGTTACTGCTGTTCAGGCTGTCGAGGACTGCTGTCTTGGTGTGAAAGATTGGATGTCATCAAACAGACTAAAATTAAATGATGATAAGACTGAGGCAATTATTTGTGGTTCAGACGCCAATCTTCGGAAGGTTACCATTGCATCAATAAAAGTTGGTGAATCAGAGATCCTGTTGTCCTTGACTTTCAGAGACCTTGGTTTTTATATTGACAGTAAACTTAGTATGATTCCCCAAATCATGAGAACAAAATATCTACGTCCATTTTTTTTATAAACAAACAGACAGTCATAGCTTCTTGCTATATTCATCATCCCATCCTCAATGGTGTAAAAACTCCATCCCATTTTCTCAGTTGCTGAGCCTCAGAAGACTATGTAGTAATGATGAGGATTTTGGAGAAAGAATGCCTAAAATGTTGGATTTTTTCCGACGCAGGTTATACCCCCAAGAAATTTTAAAAGCAGCTGTCACTCGAGTTAAATGTATGACTAGACAGGCTTCTTTTAAAGCTACTCATTCTGACACTAGTGATAGGTCTAAATTTATCTTAACTTTTCATCCCCACAACCTAAAAACCGCTCAATTCTGATGGCGGACCCTGTCACAAATGAGATTTTTAGAAAACCTCCTCTTTTCGCTTTCAGGCGGGACAAGAGCCTTAGGGACATGCTAGTTAGAATCCACCTCCCTGCTATTAAAGCACATAAAGACACAAACAGTTGCAACCGTAGCCGTTGTAACTCATGTCCATTCGTGATCGAAACTGATGCGATCACTTTCCCTCTGGAAGTATTCAGAATAAAAGATGGCTTTACCTGCACAAGTCAAAACATGATTTACACCATCATTTGCAAAAATTGCGGTAAACTATACATAGGAGAGACAGGTCGTCGCCTTGGGGACCGTTTCAGAGAGCACCTCTATAACATAAATAAACACGCTCTCTGTCCGGTCTCCAAACATTTCAATAGCCCTAACCATGACGGTATTTCAGACATTGCGGTTACTGGTATACTCTATACCAGTAACACTGCAGATAGAATCTATATGGAGTGGAGAACAAATTAATAACTAGATTTGGTACGTTGTCTCCAAATGGAATGAACCAAATCCACAATTTTACTTAGCTGCCATGTCTTTTTCCTGTTTGGTTTTTACACTTATGTTAAAATCACTTCCTTTCTACCCTTATTTACTTTGTTTTTGTCTCATCTTAGCGCCCTCTCCTATTTTTCTGTTTTAGGTAGGATATGTATACTGATATTATGTAAATTTAATTTATACTTAGTTAAATGTGTTTTGTTTGTTTTTACTGATGAAGGCATGTGCCGAAACGTTTAATTGTGTATAATATATAATTATTATTAAAGCGTAACTTATATTGTTCTATTGACACAATTAATTTGTTCGTGTCTTATTAATCTATTTTAAAGCTTTATCGCATTCCAACACTTTTTATAATTAGTTCCCCATATCAGTTCTGTTGTAAAGGCTTGCTTCTGTCATCTGCGTGCCTTGGGAGAGCTGCGTCCTCAACTCAATAGGAGAACAGCCAATGCTGTATCAGTAACTCTTATCCAGTCAAGATTAGATTACTGTAATAGTTGTTTGTGGGGTTCACCTCAGAACCAAATTCAGAGACTCCAAAAGATACAAAATACTGCAGCACGCATTGTATCGCGGATGAGAAAAATCTGACCACATCACCCCAGTTCTACAAGTTCTCCATTGGGTTCCTGTGAGTGGGCGCCTTAACTAGTGAATTCTGCCCCTGGCATACAGCTGCAGAGATTGCCAAGCACCGGAATATCTCAAGGAACTGATTTATAAACATGAACCTCTGCAGAGCCTGCGGTCTTCAACAAAGTACTTACTGAGTGTTCCTTGAGTGGATGAACATAGAAAAAAATCTTACGGATCGCGCTCTTTTGAAGCGACAGCGCCAAAATTATGGAACAGTTTGCCTCAATCTTTGAGGGGAATTTTAAATGATACAAAAATCATTTAAGAAACAATTAAAAACTTTTTTGTTTAAATAGATTTCGGAGGACCAGAGCACAGTGAGCATGCTAAAGTGGCATGGATACCAGTGCGATATAAATATCAAATCAATCAATCAATAAATCCATCAAAAGGTCTTTGAACTTTATTGAGTACAAAACAAGAAAAGAGGATTATTAAACTTATGAATTTAAATTATAAGCTAAACCGTTTTAAAACTTTAAAATAGAACAAATTTGGTTGACTATATTTTGTGATGAAACCTCAAGCTTTTTAAAAAAAAATATATATTTAAAAAGGGCGGAAATACAACTTAACTTTCATAATATTATTTTAGGCCTGCATGATTCAAAGAACACAATCTTCTATCTTTGATAATTTAAAGAAAGTTGTATACTATTTTTTAAAGTTATTCTTCATTATTATCTATGAAATTTTTAAAAAATCTTCAAATAATTTTGTTTCAGCATCAAAAAAAGTTGCAGTCTCGTTCATTAACAATTCCGTTGTGTAATTAAAAAAAAAAAATTCAATCTTACATAAACTAAATCAAATATTTGCTTACATGGTGATTGAAACACAATACCGAAACATTTGTAGGCCAACTTTTAAGCTATCTTAAAAGACGCCTTTGTTGTTGCTTTAATCTGATTCACATATGTAACGACTTCCAGAAGCACCTGGTTCACATGGTGCATCGTGCATGCATGTTTCCAAGTAAGTATACGACACGCATTGTTCACGTATTCCTCCATAATTATTGGGTTGCCCTGGGCACCAGTTGATGTACTGCAGTTTTCCCCTGCTCCTGTCAAACTCCCAAACACGATCCTTGTGCTTGTCTGTCCCTCCAACTAGGGCGCCCTTGGCGTTATTATCAAGTATCATTTTGTGGATTATTTCTTCTTCCGACTTATCGTCCACCTCGGCGAGGTATCCACATAATGATTCACACACAGCGGCAGATGCAATATCCGAAGTGTAAGTTTCTTTTGAGATGTAGTATGTCTTACCAAAATGTTCAAATTTGTTCAACAATTTCAGACTTTCCTCGTTAGGAGTACATGCTGTGTCAAATAAAAAATAAAAAGTATAAATATTGAAAGTTAATTTGTGGGAATTGAGTCTGAAAGAGAATTTTCGCAAGTTCAATGGTGGCAAACATAATCATTTATATTTCTCTGTTACACTAAAGCAATATCTTTCAAGTTCATTGGTAACATACACAATCACTTATATTTTATATGTTAACTAAAGCATCATCTTTTTATCGACTCGGTTTTTGCATTGATGTATGGGAATACAAAGATATCTCAGTGTAAATGTAACGGTGTAATTGTACTGGTGTTAATGTATGGCTGTACATTAATAAGTATACATTTATAGATTTATAATTTATTGGGTGTAAATGTAAAGTTTTAAATGTATTGATACTTTTATAGTGATTCGTATAATTTGGGTGTTTGTAGTGATCTGAACGCTAAAATTGCGTAAAGAATAGAGATAGAAAACATGGGGGGGGGGGGGGGGGGGGGGGCTGAACATGTTAGATGTATAGAAGACACGGGCATTGTGTTTATAGATTAGGTATGCTGCGGTCAACATGGTGGCCATGCATGTGAGATGTATAGAAGTATTTAGAAGGCACAGACATTGTTTTTATAGATTAAGTATACCTATGTCTCATAAATTGTACTTTTACTGTGACTGAATACAGAACTAGTTAGCTGAATTGTGTGACAGTAGGAATGACAGACCATTATTGTTTCCTGTATTGATTGAATTGTGTGACCTGATTGTGCTGTGTTGGACGTGTTTAGTTTTATTATTATTATTATTATTAAGATGTTATATAGCGCAGTACCCCAGCCTTCGGTCGGCTCAGTGCGCTTATCTTGAAAATTAGCGATTACTGAAACGTTTACATTTAAAAACAATTTGTGAAAAGCTTGACCTCACCCACCCAAGTACTCTCTACCCCTGTCTAACCATGGGCAGCACCCAGCAGAACCGAGCGTTGTTTATCAGTCAGCAAGGGTTGAGAATGAGTCGGTATAGTACAGTTTAAAGTGATGGGACTTGGGTGAAGTTTTGAAGGCTGGGATGGTCGTTATATTCAGGATGTGTAATGGGAGAGACTTGCATTCTTTTGGGGATAAGAAATAGAAAGAATGTTATCCACATGTTTAAGTGCATGCTTTGGGAAAATAAAGAATACGCGTGTCTGGGGAGGAACAAAGCATTCGACGGGGTGAATAGACAGTAAGAGTTACGTAATATAGGAAGGACAGGAAACAAAGAAAAAGTTGTGACAGAGAACAGACAGCTTGTAATCAATGCGTGCCTTAAAAGGGAGCCAATAAAGTTAGTGCAGTAGTGGACTGACGTGATCACGTATCTTTGCCTTTAGATTTAACCTAACAGCTGAGTTTTGAATTTTCTGCAGTTTTTCAATTAAATGTTTTTGTGAACCCTAAAGAAGAGTGTTACAATAGTCGAGACAGAACAATAGCACAAACTAGCTTAGAATTTTTAAAGTAAAAAGTGTGAATATTGGTTGGAGAACTGGAGCGAGTGAGCATGTGATGTCGGGTATAAAACGAATGCAGAATGATGCATCAATTTTAGTTTTCACGAAGACCACAGACTTGAGTTTGTATTTTATTATACTATTAAAGACCTATTGGCACCAAATTGAATACGTCACTTGGAGAAGTGATTTGTTTTAAACATATTGTAAAAGTACATCACTTTCAGTAAAGTGGACTCCTATTGATCTGAACGTAAATTAATATTATCTTATTCTGTTTTTTTTAAATAAGTTGTGTTTAAATGTAAAAAAAAAAAACTATTTTGTTTGTATTCTTTGCAATAAAAATCGTCTCAAGGTAAGTTTCTCCTTGTGAATGATACGTTAGAATAAAAAAAAAAAGAAACATTATTCGAAAAAATGAATGTAAATTAATATTATCTTATTCTGTTTTTTTTTAAATAAGTTTTGTTTAAATGTAAAAAAAAAAAACTATTTTGTTTGTATTCTTTGCAATAAAAATCGTCTCAAGGTAAGTTTCTCCTTGTGAATGATACGTTAGAATAAAAAAAAAAAAAAGAAACATTATTCGAAAAAATGAAATTTTACGGCCATTTGTTTGTTTCTTAGGATTATTTGTTGGGTATTTTATCAACTCAAATTTGTAACTTTTATTGAATGTTTGTAATTTTCGGCATAAGTTTTTCTAGATGTATTTTATTTTTAAATTGTGATTTTATTTCAACTTTATTTTTAAAGCTTACCACTTTTTAAGACAGTTTTAATCTACATCTCCTAATTTCTGTTTACAGTTGAATTTATTCCAGTTTTAATAGGATTGTTCATCTACAATTTATTCATAGTATGAACAAGAATTTACTAAATAAAGTTATTATTTTTTTTTTTGCTTTAATAAAACATTTGATTGAAAATTTTAAATTAAAATTTCTAAAACATTTTAAATAAACGTATGTGTAAATTATTTATATGTTAAGTTTATAAGGGTTAAAATGGAACACACATAATTTAAGTTACCCTTTATTTATCCAACAAAAAAAACAAACAAACATGCAAGACAAAGTTACTTATTTGAATTAAAGGTAAATATATTTTTTTTAATTTTTGGGATTTTAATAAACACAACTCCAAAGAAATGTAATTAAATTTTACCTACTAGGCACTGATACAGGTAACGATTCAGATCCAGGTAAAGATTCAGATCCAGGTAAAGATTCAGATCCAGGTAAAGATTCAGATCCAGGTACAGATTCAGATCCAGGTAAAGATACAGATCCAGGCAGCCGAAACACAATACGCATAGAACAAACATGTTAAAAAATAGACATCTCTTTATCGACTTTTCAGTTTATCTCTTTTCTTCTATTCCGTTTTCATTAATAAAACACTTTTCCCATTACAAGAAATTATGTTCAAATTATTATTTTATATAGTTCAAATTGACATGATTTGCCAATACACTTTTAAATGAGAAGTCAATAAAAACTTTATGTCAACTAAATTTCATAGTCGTGCAAACGATTCTTTGAGTTTATCCGTGAAGTAGCTATAAAAATCTATATGTGTAGCCCGCTAGTACTGTCAATAAGAAACTACGGAAATCTACCGGATGATGTGAATAAAGAGTACTCAGCTCGTACTGAGAATAAAAATCGATGGACATCTACCGAATGAAGGATGAAGTTCAGTCCATTAGTATAAGAATCAAGAACATGGCGCAGCCACTTTAAGCAATAGTTAAATTGTAATTAACAGGTTACAGAAATAACATGCACATGTGTGTGTGTGTGTGTCTTCAGGTTAGGAAAAGGAAATATTTTACAACCGATATTTATACAATATGTTATTCTAAATCAAATTATTGGCAGTATTTGTTTTTAGTTTTTTTTTTTTTTACAATTTAACTTAGTCACAAAAGTAATTCATTTTCAGTATATTTTAACTCCTTTAAAGGGGGTTCATATGCTTTTAATATTATGCTCATATACAATATTTCTCTTTGAATTAGCTAATGATAATACATTGATACATCAAATATTAATCTTTAATTGAATAGTTCTAAACATTTCACGATGTTTGATTTGTTTAATTGCGTATCATGTTTCTTAAATCTTTTCATAAATAATTTCAATCATTAAAATCAAAACCTTGTGTCGTTGGTACAGTGGTTGTCGTTATGACACAATTGGATTGATGTATTGGGACACAGCCCCTTGCCTAAAGAAAAATGTTGAAACGATAGATAAAATCAAATTTGCTTCAATATGATTATGCAGTAGATGAATGGGGAATAACAACTACATAAAAGCAAAAAATAAGATTTTCTTTAAAATTGCATTAATGATCATGTTTACGTATACAAAAAATATAATATGATTACTAGGGACAAATAGTTATCAAAATAAATATATATATATACCAGTATTAAACAGAAACTCGTACCTCTCCCCCATAGACAGCGACGAGGCCATGACAGGCAATTCAGGCTCATACCAGCAAGAAGCCAGTATAGGAGCTGCTCATTCCTGCCCAAGACAATCAGGGACTGGAACAATCTTTCAAAGGGAACGGTTGAGGCGACAACACTAGACACATTTGTGTCTATTGCCTCAAGCCTTCAAACCCCCAGTGCATGATTCCCTCACAAAGTGGCACTGGAAATCTGTGAAATTTCCTCATCAACACCAGGAACAGAAACATTGCAAATCCCATCTACATGCATAGGAGCCAAAATGATCAATAAATTGATCGTGGTCACTGGAAATCTGTGAAATTTCCTCATCAACACCAGGAACAGAAACATTGCAAATCCCATCTACATGCATAGGAGCCAAAATGATCAATAAATTGATCGTGGGCCCTTAAGATATAGAAGAAGAAGATATATATATATATATATATATATATATATATATATTAGCAAAATACCCGCGCTTCGCAGAGAAGAGCATTTTTTAAAGAAAAAATGTTAAGAAATTAATACAAAATTGAGCGAAAAGTTACTAATGGTTTTATGTTAAGGATCACTTTGTATACCACTTTGTCAGTTTGGTCTTCCGGTTGTAGTATGACCAAGTTGTGCGCTGAGCTCACTCTTGAGCATGCAACGTATAGTTGGCCATGCGAAAAGCAATCCTGCCTCAAATCAATGCAATCTTTTTGTAGGGTCTGTCCTTGAGACTTATTAATTACTCTCCCTTAACCATGACACGTCTTTTTCATGGAGATTTCGTAGAGTGGGGTAAACATGTTTAAGCAAGTCTGGTAAGGTATTCACGAGGAGACAGCGATTTTAAGGAATAGTAATTTTACGATTTTCTTGTCTGAAGCTGCCATCACCGGTACTCATCAGAAAAGCAGAGAATTCTGCGGCTTTTTTGTCGCCTTTCAAATGAACTCTCATGTTTAATGTCAAAGAAAGAACAATGATTTGAGGCAAAAAGTATGAAGATTTAAGACATGCTTTAACTTCGTCAGCGCGTGTTCCTCTTGGCACGACCTGTAGAGTTTGGCGGAAGTCTCCAGCCAGCAGAACTATCAAACCCCCCCCCCCACCCATTAGTTTGATGATGTGACGGATATCTTTGAGGGTCCTGTCAAAAGCCCAAACACCCCCTCTGTGTGCCATAGTGGATTCATCCCAGACAATAAGCCTACAATGTATGAGCACTTCAGCCATGTTGCTCTGCTTTGATATGTTACACATAGAGGGAGATTCAGTATGGCTGAGGTTCAGGGGTAGCTTAAAAGCCGAATGAGCAGTTATTCCGCCCTGTAGAAGAGTGGCAGCGATACCAGATGAAGCCACATCTATAGAAATATTTCCGTCCGCTCGGATTTTCGCAATCATGAGGTTTATGAGGAATGTCTTATCAGTTCCGCCTGGAGCATAAAAAAAAAAAAAAAAAAAAAAAAAAAAAAACATCGTGCCTGTGGCCGAGACAACGCTCCTCATGACCTTGTCATAAACTGTCTTTTGCTGAACATTTAACAGCAGCTCGTTTTCAGTAACTATGTTGGCCAGTTGCGAGGTGTTGTAAGATGTCTCTTTCAAGTATTCGGGATTTGACGTGACTTCTGCATGTACTATGGAAGGTGAAGGCAAACCGTAATGATCAAGAGGTTGACCTCCAATAGCAATCACGTAGTTTTCAAGCAACTACAGAAACCATGTATAGATCAAATGTAAGTGCTGGTGGTCTTCTGTTTCTACATGGTGTCCTTCACTCTGTCTCGTAACATCTTCTGATATGATGTCTATATGTTTTTCCCATAGTTTTAAGGGGTTTTCCATTTGGCAGAAGACCAGCATGACAGCAAAGAGCTCACGGATCTTTTGAGGTGAGCGAGAGAGAGAGAGAGCAGCTTCCTGTAGAGTCTCGTCCCAGTTTTTGTCGTCCTGTAACAAACCCATGGGTTTGGCAGTGCCGTGCAGGCCGACTTACATGTTGAATGAAGAACACGATCAACTGTTCTCAGATATTCGAACGATGTGGGACCTTTGATTTTGGAGCAGCAATCGAAGATGGTAACATTCTGAGTTATTCGGGTGCACAGTGTAGACCTGACCCAGCACATTATCATTTTTTAAACCCAAAACCTCTGGCACAATTTTCCCCTGCTTCCTTCGACAAAACATGTTGTTTGTCCATAGATAATATGACGCAATTTCATAATAATAAATTTCTTTTGCAAAATCATCGTGGTTACAGAGTTAAAAGAACGCTTAAAGAGTCGACTGTGGTGGATTGCTTACTTTATCGACAACATTGGCCTGTGTGAAGTAAATTCTTTGTCCGTTCTCAAGATGTTCAGCAAGATGAACGACCGGGGGGTAACGTTCATGAATGGGGAAACAGAAGATGCGCCAGGCTGCCTCAGAACTACTAATGTAACGGCCAGGACACCTGCCAAATTAGAACTGTTCGCCCATCTTCAGCCAATAAATTGCTTTTATTGTTTCAACATGATGTATCCCTTGGTTAAACTTAATGTAAGATAAATTGCTTCAATTTGTTCCACATGATTCAACTTGATGTACGATAAATTGCTTCAATTGGATCAACATGATTTAGGTCTTGGTGCATCTTGATGTACGATAAATTGCTTCCAATAGCTCAACAGGATGTAGGCCTTGGCTCAACTTGATGTAAGATAATTCCACCAAGTTTCACGTAGACAAAATACGAATTTGATTATATTCAAAAGCTTACCTTTATGCAGGTGATCAGATATTTTGATCAGTTTTGTGAACCATTTACTTAATTTATTTTGTACATTTAAACATTTCAACAAATATTGATCAGCATCTAGACTTCATGCAAAGGTGGCACGTTTTTATGATCCAAATAACTTAGCATTTGAATCACAGACCTATTATCTGAGGTGGAATCTATTTATTTTTTAGATGAGGATATTATCTCCTTTCAAAGTATACTTTTTTGTTTAGATAATTCTAACGACGGACATATTTAACTACAAATAAATTAGCAGATACAAGCCATCTACTCAAAACATTTTTTTTTAAATGTTTGTTTTTATATTGATTGGCTAAAAATAAGCAGTCCGTGGCACCCGTATGGAAAGTTCAGAAAACCTAAGACTGTCAATGACTGCTAACATAAATGTATTTGACCAGGCTTTGGTTAAATTAAAAAAACAGAAATGAGGTAAAAATGAATCTTATGTGTTTGTAAATATAAACGTTCTATATTTAACTAATACCTTGGTGTTGTAGTGTTCTATAATTAACTAATAGCTTGGTGCTGTGGTGTTCTATAATTAACTAATACCTTGGTGCTGTGGTGTTCTATAATTAACGTATACCTTGGTGCTGTAGTGTTTTGTTCTCTTGCAGGTTTTTTGCTTTGCCCTGTGATTGGCGCAATCATAATACTTGTTACAGGATGTAGGGTGGCGAACTTTGCCGTTTTTTATACGTTGACAAGGATTTGGATCTGTAATGAATGTATATGACTATTATTAACATTTTTATCACTAATAAAATTGAAAAATAAATACTTTAAAATAATGATCGACAGGGTAATGGAAGCGTCGTATCTGATGCCCAAGCAAATATTTAAATTTACATTGACATGGTATCCTCAGCCTACCTAACATTCTGTAAACGCTTAATTTCAATAAATGTATATATTATATCAAATTAGTGAAAAGAACAATTTGATTTAATTCATGTGTAAAGTCTGGTATATATTTCTATATTTATTTTAACATCATTATGGACAATTTTTTTTTACTTTTTAATTTTTCATTTAGCGTGGATAAGTTTATGGTTGAATGACCCCTCTAAGGAGATGCAACAGCTCCTACTAAAGAAGGCAAAGATTAACTGATTTTAAAAAAAAATGTACTTAACAAAAATTTAAAAACAATAATTTTAGAAGACGTTGGTTAACATTTATAATTTAATATAAATAAATATAAAATAGTGACGGGAAAAAAATGAGTTTCGCAACAAACACAAAAGTTGAAAAGAGGGCTACATCAAATTAAGCCTCGGCTTTAATCAAGTTTGTTTAACAAGGCCTGCACCAAACTTTACCAAGAATTACATCAAGTTGGACCAAGGCCCCTCAGCAAGTTGAACCAATGCCTGTATCAAGTCGAACCAAGGCCAATATTAAGTTGAACCAAGGCCTACTTCAAGTTTGACCAAGGCGTACATCAACTTTAACCAAGGCCTTTATCAAGTTGAACCAAAATCTTTATCAAATTTAACTAAAGTCTACATTACGTTTAAAAAAAACGTCTACATCTAGTTAATCCAAGGCCTACATGAAGTTGAACAAAGGCCTTCGTCACTTTGAACCATGACATTTGCCTAGTTTAACTAAGTCCTACATAATGTTAAACATTGCCCCTAATTAAGTTGAACCAAAGCTTACACCAAGTTGAAACGAGGCCTACAACACATTGAACCACGAAACTGGGCTGTGTACAACATGTCAACTCTTAAAGTAAAAGCCTACATCAATTTGAATGACACATTTAAAAAGGAAAACGAATGTTCAAATATACATTGTTAAAAAAAAAATAAAAATAAAAATATTTCTAATTATCATAAATCTTACCTTGACAACTCCCCGGGATGTAATAGCTTACTACAATACTTCTTACCTTGACAGCTCACCGGGACATAATGGCTCATTAGAAGGAGCAGCAAAACAGATTTCTGTGTAAATGTAGAATTATATTAAAATCCAAGCTCGGCAGTTTTAAATAAAATCCCCTTCCTGCGCGTTAATGTGCAGTTATCAATGTGTATGTGTGCGAACTGTAATGAGTATGTGTGTGCAATTAGTCATGCCCATGCATGCGGGCAGACAATGACATGTGCGTGGTTAGATATGTGTATGTGTGCGGTTAGCTACGTGTATGTGTGTTGTAAGCTGTGCATATGTGTGTGGCTTGCGATGTGTATATATGACGTTAACTATGTAAATGTGTGCGGTTAGTAAGATGTATGCGTGCGGTCAGCCATGGGCATGTGTGCGGTTAGCTAGTTGTATGTGTCTGGTTAGCCATTTATCTGTGTGTGGTTAGCCATGTAAATGCGTTTGTTTAGCCATTTTAATATGTGTCTGGTTAGCCAAGTTTTTGCGGTTAGCCATGCTCTTATTGCGGCTAACTATGAGTATGTGTACGGATATCCATGTGTACATGTGTTTTTTGTCATGTGTACGTGGGTGGTTAGCCATGTGTTTGTATGTTGCTAGCAATGTGTATGTGTGCGGTTAGCTCTGTGTATTATTGTGGATAGCTATGCGTATGTGTTTGATACGTCATGTGCTTGTATGTGGCTAACCATGTGTGTGTGTTCGGTTAGCTATGTGTATGTTTGCCGTAAACGTTCTATATGTCTGCGGTGACATAAAAGTATCCACATTTTTGAAAAGTTTGTTTGAGTTTAAGGGACTCTTCATTTGTAAGAGGACATCACACTTGCAGTCTAGTATAAAGGTTTGGTAATAGGGCTTCGGTATCATTAATCGAATATATACTTATCTACTATGGGAATGTTATAGAGTATAGCAATTTCATATAACCTTTTATCGAGCTTATTATAGAGTGTTTAGAGCATACTATACTTAGTTTATATAACATGTTATAGAGCCTATAATAGAGATTGTTATAGAGTCTGTTAAAAACTGTTTTGACCTAGTTTTTGTTCACCCTGCTTGGTGTCAAGGCGTGGTAATCGTCCTGTGATTTCTGGCTGTCTGCCAATACTTTCTCCCACTGAATTTGATTGGGATTGTTTGTTTGAGATCTCCAGAAAGACTAATTTGACGTAGAAAATACTTTCTGACCAGTCAATGTCAGGTCTTTCTGTTCCGGAAGGTTCTAACTTCCTCACTATAAATACGATGGTGAACGGTAACCCGCAGACACACGAAACGTACCAACCACATACGAGTAACAAGATTCTTTTAAAATTGTATTAAACTGGATTAATTGTTCCAAGTCAGGCCGTTCTAGGGCTGGCTATTATAAGGCAGGCGTTTCTGAGGCTGACTATTATAAGACAGGCCGTTCTGAGGCTGGCTATTATCAGACAGGTCGTTCTAAGGCTGGCTATTATAAGACATGCCATTTTAAGGCTGGCTATTTTAAGACAGGTCATTCTGAGTCTGGTTATTATAAGACAGGCTTTCTCAGTCTGGGAGTTATAAAACAGGCAGTTCTAAAGGCTGGCTATTATAAGACAAGCCCTGGCCTTTATTAGGATCGCTACTATAAGACAGGCCCATCTGAGGCTAGCTATTATAAAACAGGCCGTTTTAAGGCTTGCTATTATAAGACAGGCCATACTAGGGCTGGTTAATATGACACAGGCCGTTCTGACATTGGCTCTTTTGAGACAGGCTATTATGATGCTGGCTATTGCGAGACAGACTGTTCTTAGGCTGGCTAATATGAGACCAGACGTTCTGGGATAGGCTGTTACATGGAATCCCGTTCCGATAAATGCTGCCGAAACGGAGAGCGCTGTCTTATAGCAGCCTACCACAGAACAGCCTGCCTCGAAACGGCTGGGCTCAGAAAGCTTGCTTTAGAACAGAGTTCGTCGGAACACCATGCCACAGAACGGCCTGTGTCACAACAGTGTGCTTAATACAGCCAATCTCAGAAAAGCCTCCCTCAGAACAGCCTTCCCCCATACGGCGTGAATCAGTACAGCCCAGCTCAGGGCGAAAATCTCAGAACAGCTTAACACAGAACGGCTTGCATCAGAACAGCCTGCTTAAGAATGCCTGCCGCTTAACAACCTTCCAAAGAACTACTTGCTTAAGAACGGCCTTCCTCACAACAGCATGCCACTGGATGGCCTGCCTCAGTACATCCTGCCTCTGAACGCCAATCTCAGAACAGTTAGCCCAGAATGGGCAACATCAGTACAGCTTGCATAAGAATGGCCTTCTTTACAAACTGCATGCAACAGAACGCCTTGCAAAGAAATTGCCTGCTCAGAACAGTCAGCTACAAAACCGACTGTTTCAGAAAGGAATACCTCAAAAAAAGACTGCCTCAGAACGGCCTGCCTCAGAACAGCCTGCCTCAGAACGGCCTAATACATAATAGCCTAACTTGGAACTGGCTTTCTCAGAAGAGAATGCCTTATAAATGCCCGTCTCAGAAAGGCCTGTCTCAGAATGACCTCCCTCAGAACAGCCGGCCCCAGAACAGACTGAATCATTCTAGCCTGACTTAGAATGGCGTTAGTCAGAACAGCTTTACAAAGTACGGCCAGCCTCAGTACGGCCTGTCTCGGTACGGCCTGCCTCAGTACGGCCTGCCTCAGTACGGCCTGCCTCAGTACGGCCTGCCTCAGTTCGGCCTGCGTCAGTACGGCCTGCCTCAGTACGGCCTGCTCAGAAAGTTCTGTCAGAACAGGTTTTTTGAGACACACTTTTCTAAGAAAGTCTGGTGTGAGACGGACCTTTCTGAGGTAGACTTTTCTGAAGCATGTCGTTATGATACAGGCTGTTCTGAGACAGGCTGTTCTGAGTCAGGATCTTCTGAGGCAAGCCTTTATGAGGCAGGCTTTTGTGTGGCAAGCTGTTCTTAACCAGGCCGTACTGAAGAAATTTGATTTCTTTCTTTAGACCTTCTTTGTAAATACATACTGAATATTGCATTTGTACATCTAACAAACTATCTAAGCTTTCAATGATATATATATATGTACTTCACTCACAAAAACAGCCATGGTCTTGGACTAAGTTGAAACTCAAACCCTAAAAAGCGTGTTGTCTATGGCCGAATGAAGCGATGCCAATTGAAATGTTAGACAGCAGTTCAATATCTTACAGTCTACCACAATTATTAACATTTCAATTTAGATTACCAAGCACACCTAAGGGTATCTCAAACTTTTCCGAAATTACTTCTTTTTTTCCGTCTGATCTTAAAATAAAGCAGTTTTAAACGTCGTTAAACTGGTTAAACTGATTTTAACGGTATTTATTAAATAAGTTAAACCTGACCTTATTTCAATCGCTAAATATGTCCTAGAGGACAATTTCTTCTGGGGTTTCAAATTACAAATTCTGAATTAACTTATAGAAACGTTTCATATAAAATAAAAGATTTTAATTTAAATGATCGACTAAGTCAAGTTTAAATGGAATGTCATGGATATGAGATATGATAGAAAGTTTAAAAGGCATGTCATGGTGGTGTGATATGCTGGAAGGTATAAATGCATTGTAATGAAGATAAGATATGATGAAAATGTTTTAATAATTAAGTGCAGTGTATTGGGGCATATGAATAGCATGCGCCTAATTCGTACACAACGCCAGAGTGCAGAGACTTAGAAATGGTCAATATTTCTAATGTTATGTTACGCTTGTCCAAACCTTGAGAACCGATGAGCCACCTGCTGTAGAAATTGGGCGATTATTTAATTCGATTAGACTCAGTAGACAATCAATAAACTTATGTCAGAGAAAAATATTTGTTTGTGGGATGGGAAGAACGATTAGCACAGGGTGGCTCGTGACTTATATTAGTGGCGGTGCTACTAAAGGAACATTTTAAGAATTGTTTAATCTTGATTTGTGCCAATCAAAACACATAAACAATCAGAAAAAAATACAATGATAAGAGCCTGAAGATAAAATATTTTTTATTTGTGTATAAAGCGAAGACAACTTATATATATATATATATATATATATATATATATATATATAACAAAGATATATAAAATTGTGAACAAATAAAAATATAATTGTATATATATATAAAAAACATACACAAAAAAAAAAAAATACAAAGAAAAGAGAATGAAAATAAAATATTTTTTATATATATATATAGAGAAGAAAAAATATATATATATATATATATATATATATATATATATATATATATATATATATATATGACGAAGATGGATAAAATTGTGAACAAATCAAATTATAATTGTAGATATTTACAAGTATTTAAGGAAGAACGAAATTAACAATATTTGAACATCGTGTATTTAATAATTTTTTAGTTCAAATATGGATGCTACAGTTCCGCAGGTTTGTAGTAGGAGACGCCACTAAATTCTTATTTGAAAATCGTATTATTTTATTTCATCCCTACTTAAAGACTAAGATAGAATAAACCTGTCAGATTAGAAACCACATGATAAGGTTTTTTTTATAGGACGTATACTAAATGCAAGCAGATATCTACAACACACGTATATTCCATTCCAAAAATATATCTACAACGTACATATATTCCATGCAAACATAGGCATCTACAACACACATATATTCAAGACAAACTAAGATATCTACAAATGAATGAGTTATTACGATTTTTTTACTTTCCTGTTTGCAATTGAATATTTCTTTATTTACACCCATCTGTAACGGGAAGCAAAATAGGACTAATTTCATTGTCAAGTCTAATCAATCGATTGAGATTAAATTCATTACACGCTTTATACATTATTGGCAAACTAATTTTTTGTTGACATTGAATACAACACAAAACACATTTTTTGTTTTCATTGAATAAAAAACTAAATACATTGTTTGTTGTCATTGAATACATTGAATAAGGCGGGCTGACCACAGCATTCTACTAAACAAACACTTCGCGCCACAGATGACCACACTCCTACACGCGGTGATAAGCGAGGCGTACGAGAACCAAGAATTACCGCCCAAAATGGGAGAGTCATACATCAAACTAATATCCAAAAAGAAAACAAACAAAACACGATCCAAAAAACTACAGACCCATATCATTACTAGACACAGACCACAAAATAGTAACTAAAATAATGGCCAATAAAATTAAGCCCTATCTTAAAGAATTAGTGCACCCAGACCAACAGTGCAGTATTGAAGACAGAAATATAAATAACCATAATCACTTCATTAAATTACATAATCAATTACGCCAAAGACAAAAACATACAGGCAAGTATCTTGGCACTTGATCAAGAGAAAGCTTTTGACAGAGTATCACACACCTACTTACATAAAATACTCCAACAAAATAACCTAGGACCATACGTGTGTGACTGGGTCAAAATAGTATACAAAAACCCTGTAAGTAAACTCTTAATAAACAAATACACTATCAGAAGGAAGTGAGACACAGAGATCGGTCAGACAAGGATGCCCTCTATCTTCTTACCTATACATCTTGGCAATAGAGCCAGAGTTGGAAAAGATTAGGAAGGACCCTCAAATCGAAGGAATAAGCGTACCAAATAGAGGTGAAATGAAACTGAGGGCACAGCTCCCCCCTTTCTACCAGGCATGCACACGCCACATTACCTGGGGGCACGGCTCCCCCCTTTCTACCAGGCATTCACACGCCACACTACCTGGGGGCACAGCTCCCCCCTTTCTACCAGACATTCACACGCCACACTACCTGGGGGCACAGCTCCCCCCCATCTACCAGGCATTCACACGCCACACTACCTGGGGGGGCCCAGCCCCCCCCTCTCTACCAGCCACTCACTCCAGGCATGCACACGCCACATTACCTGGGGGCACGGCGCCCCCCTTTCTACCAGGCATTCACACGCCACACTACCTGGGGGCACAGCTCCCCCCTTTCTACCAGACATTCACACGCCACACTACCTGGGGGCACAGCTCCCCCCTTTCTACCAGGCATTCACACGCCACATTACCTGGGGGGGCACAGCTCCCCCCTTTCTACCAGGCATTCACACGCCACACTACCTGGGGACACAGCTCCCCCCTTTCTACCAGGCATTCACACGCCACACTACTTGGGGGCACAGCTCCCCCTTTCTATAGTTATTTTTACATTAAATTTACTTTATTTAAAATTGTCCTTTCCGTGTCTTCAAATCTGCAAACATGTCAATCACTTGATCGAAAAAATGTCATTCACTGTATCACTTCCAAATAATAGCAGAGCGGCATCAGACAGCCTAGACTTTTCCATGGTGGATCATAAATATTTCTTGATAAGCCTTAGTTTTGATAAGCTCCGCGCACAAGACGCCACATACACACATATTGTAAGAAAAAATTAAAAGCTTAGCAAGAGTATTGAATGAGATTCTAGGCGGTCCCATTCAGCTGTGAATTTCAAAACATCAAATACTGACCAGTCTTTAAATTTGTGGAATTCAATATCAGCTGCCTTTAGATCTCTTCTAAGCCTTGGTATTTCTTATAAAAATTCATCCTCTAATAACTCATCATAGAAAGAGGTTAATTTTGGAACGGACACCAATAAATCTGCTTCACTTACTGATACTACACTCTTGGGTCGAACAGTACCAAACATATCTGCTACTTCCTTGGTCGCTAATGATCTGATTTGGCCTTCAGAATGAAAGCGATCAATACAAGCCAGGATCTCCCTACTGTTTTCTTCTCGCAGAAAGAGTCCAGCATCAATTAATTGTTCTCCTGCTATTCGCTTCTTCAACCTTATTCTTCTCGCTACCGATATTCCATATTGGTCTGATTTTAAAAGTGCCTTTCAATAGCATGTTCCACCAAGTGACGGCGCTTCTCGTGGAGAAACAATCTTTAAGCCTCTAGGTTTGTCACCACTTTGTCAAGCGTAAAGCCTTTAATCATCAGATTAAGATTAACTTCCTCGAGTAGATCAGCCCAACGCTAAAGGTAGAATATAAACGTGAAATCACAGACAGCATGTGCTGTACCTTGTGTATCTAAATATTCAAGAGGATTACACAGAGTTTCAATCAACGCCGCACAGTCATCAAACTCATCTTTCACTGTTTTAACAGCAGCATGATGAGCACCCCAACGCGTTATTGACATTCTTTTCAACGACATCCCAGGGTGTTCAATTAGAAAATGTCATTGATGAGTGGATGCAGCAAAGAAGAAAAATATTCTTTCAAGAGTACCGAAAAATGTAATACATGAAGCATTTTCTGCAAAAGAGTGTTGACCACACAAGTTAAGTGAATGGCCCACACATATATTAAAAATTGCTTTCTTTTAATAGTTCTTTTCATAATGGCCTCAACACCTCCATGGATTCCAGACATTGTTGCAACATTATCGTAACCTTGAGCTCTGAACATCATTATTTCTAGTCTATAAAGTTTAGATTTTTAAGAATTTCAGAGCTGAGGTCATCAGCTTTTTCCCCTCTTAAAGGGAAAAATGCAAGAACACATCTCTCACTTCAACTTTCACTGAGTGATATTTCAGGTGTACTTTCGAACATAATTTCAAAATACCTCGCAGCCTTTATATCCATGATAAGAATCTAATTCACATGATTTGCGAGGACATTTATAAAATCATTTTGGGTTTATGGTGAAAGGTAAGATGTGGATGCTTGTTCTGTAGATGTACTCCTCTTTAGTCTCATTTGGTGCTCTTTTAGCGGTGGATCATATTTAGATAGCATGTCAACCATTTCAAGAAAGTTTAGGTAAAGACTCAACTTCGTTGTGGACACGAAATGCCAGATTTTGCTTTGCAAGAACCAATGTGATATCCAGCAACCTGTGCAGGATATCCCTCCACTTTTTCTTCTCCTTGTCAATCCCAGCAATACTTTCGGCATCAATTGTTTTGTGTATCCTAAGTCCTGCTGCCACTGCCAATGCTTTCAACTTTTCAAGGCAACATAGGTGCTCTTCCAATTGCCTCATGGTCTTGTAATTTTTGGCTCAGATTCCACCACTTATCAAAGCCAGTAAACGAATGTGGATGTTGTTTCTGTAACAATAACAGCAAACAATCTGCAGCAAAAGCAATACAATTTCTGACTGACGAGTGAATAAACAATCCACAACCGCA